TATATATATATATATATATATATATATGCAAAAAGATTTTAAAAAGTTACCAAAAAGGAAATTGCTTAACTGTGTCTCTGCCGCGTCCTCCTGTCCGAAGTTCTGAAGACTCTCGGGCGGCTGCGAAGGATCATGGGGCGAGTGCATGCGCAGTACAGATCTTCAGCCGGGAGACGAGGAGAGACACAAGGTAAGTTAATGCACGCAGCCTGGCAGCATGCACCCGCACAGACACCGTGGGACACAGAAGACACAGCAGTCAGCGCTGGATCAGGGACTGTCACCAGGGCTGGAGAGACTCCTGAAAACCACAGGAAAAAAGAAGATGGGAGTAGGGGACAGGAAAAAAAATGTGACTTTAATGTGACTTTAAGTTAACAAGCTACAACGTTTTTTCTGGTTACTTTATCACAATACATCTTGTAATCAGGATGTATGCACAAGCCAATGTACATGTGCTTTGTTTACACAAGAACAGGATCATTTTAGCTACAGCAACTGTACATGATATTTATAATTTAGCTTACCCATTTTCATAGTACTTATGCAACTGCATTGCAGTGGCATCACATGCGCTGATCCAGAAACCAGCCCATCTATACCCACAATGGTCAGATCCATCCTGACATTTGAAAGTGCAGTCAGGATGTTTAAAATGTAGGACCCTGTAGCAATAAATGAGAGTCTAGCTTATTGAAGTATGTGAAAAGATAATTTGTGAGTGGTTGCTCTGGGTCACATCATTTTACACATTGTTCTCTGGGGTGCTTTTTTTTTTTTTACTAGCCTGTCATTGTATATTGATTACATAAAAAACATTGCGCAGGGTTTTCAATTTTCAGATGAGAGGATTTGGATCTTCTGATTTATTCACTGCAGCAGTCATTTGGTCTATTGAGGAAACACAGGGGAGTGTTTTTAAAGTTTTTTGTTTTTTTTTGTCATTGTGTATATTTTACCAAAACATACATAAAAATCAGAAGGATAGATAGGTGGATGGATGCAGAGGCAAATATAATATCTAAAAAAAAGCCCAGCTTTATAATCTAGCCTTGGCTTTTGTATTTAATTTTTTATTGTATGGTAAAATCCAAACCGTAAATATTACAAATGATGATAATGCACATCCATAGTATTGAATTACATATTCTACATATTTAAAAGGGAACTGAACTGTGGAAGCTGTGCATAAAACAGCAAGCAGGGGGCAAGTGACTAGTTGCCAGCATTGCCCATAGGTTCCCTGCAGCTGATTGTCATGTTGGCAGTGAGGGCTTTGCTTCCACATATTAGAGATGCTCCCTGATAACTGGAGGGGGAAGCTGGAGAGGTAAAAATACAACGGTAGCATGGTACTAGCATCACCAAATCTCTCTCCATATGTTGTAGCAGTCATATGCTGGAGTTCCTCTCGCACAGCAAGTTTAAAGCTATGAGGCTTTGTAGGAAGAGGAGTGCCTAGGAGTCTCCAAAACATAAGCTACATTTCTTTCTCATTCATTAGGGACACAGGATTAAGTTATTCAGAGACAGCTGGATTATACTGCTGCTTACAGGAGGATTTGGATACTGGCAAATAAAAAAGTTGTTTGCCAGCCAGGTATAACCCCTCCCACTACCAGCATGCTTCAATTTTTGCTAGTGTCCTAGAAGAATAGACATCTTTAAAAAAAAAAAGTTTAACTGCTTTACTTTCTTCAATCAGCTGGTCTCTTTATGCAGCTATTCGGATCAGCGTAGCCTCAGCAATAGCTTTGGAAGCCGCACCTGGACCCTACTGGACCAAAGATTGGGTGCCCTGTCTGAAATGTAACCTTTAACCTCTGTGGCAGTATTCCAGAGTGTGGCTCGGGGTTAATTTTCAGTACCATAAGCGGTAACCCCGAGCCACACTCAGGATTACAGCGTAGCGTCTCTTACCTTGTCCACAATCCCCGCTGTGTCCTGCGGCCGCTGCCGGCATCCGTTTTCCAGGTATCATGCCTTGCGAGCATCCGCGTCGCAGGGGGGCAGAACCGGCGGGAATTTTAAAAGTTAAAAAAAGATGGAACAAAAAAGAAAAAAAAATAATAATAATCAGACCGCCGGGGCGGTTAAGCACTGGGCTTTGCTTGTGGCTCTTTCCAGACCTTTGTGTACTATGTTTGTTAGCTGCAGAGCGCTATCCAGGTCCAGAGCCATGGCAATGGCCTCTGGTGTGACCCAGTTTCTGAGATTTCTTTAAAAAAAAAAAGCGCTGTGGGCTGAGCGTTGGGAGCTACTACATTAATTGGTCTCATTGAGCGCAAGTATTACTTTCTTTTTTTATTGGTTATCATGAAAAGGGTTAACACACTTGGGATTTAAGTAGTGCAAAACTAGCTGGAGTGTCACATGTGCAGACTCTACACTCTGTTCTCATCTTTTCAGCATGAGGTAGCATCTTCCTGCCATTGTTCCTTTTTGCAAGAGATGCAAGGTTCCACCTCAGTTAGTACTTGCTGCTTCCTGCAATTACCTAGCACGTCCAGTCTTTTGGACCTCTCCTGCTTTCAGCAGCTGGGTTGCAAGCGCCCACGGATTTTCCCTGGTATTCTCAATAAGTTGCCCCTGTTAAGCAGTGCAACATGTTCGATCCTAAGGACATGGGGAGCAGTTTGGTTGTTGCAGCTCTTGATCCTCGAGTCAAGGTGCAGTAACTCCTCTGCTTTATCCAGATAAGAGTTCTGCTCAGCTATGATAGATTTATGAGCCAAATTGCAACTATGATTGCTGATTTGGAACACAGAGGCTGTATGTGTACTTCTACACCTTCCCCTCCAGTATTATTTTCTGACATACCTGAAGCTG